TGTCCCACTCACCAGGAAGCTGCTTAAGAGTGGGAACCCTATCAGGGCGCCTGGGTGGCTTGGTCAGTTAAACGTCTGACTTCCGCTCAGGTCATGATCTTGGGGTCCTAGGATCAAGCCCCATGTTGGGCTCCCTACTCAGCGGACTTCCTCCCTGTCCCCCTCCCCCTTCTCCACCCCCTGCTCGTGCTCGTTGAGTGTACAGATTACTAAAAAAAAAAAAATTAATAAACTAAAAAAAAAAAATGCTAGGAATCTTCCATGATTTTTGGCGTCCAGTGATGATGCTTGGGCAAGGCTATAGCAAGGCTAGTCCATCACCAACCATCTCCTTATCATTCCTTACAGTGAATTCTTAGCATCCCAGGCTACCCCACTGCCTCCTCTGGTTCAGGCATTCTGTTGCTGACCTGCCATATCCTGCCTAGCTCTGCAGCCCCACACTTTAGAAGACATTGTTTATTCCCAGGTACTCATTCCTTGGACTACTGACTGGATTGGGAGAGAGATTAATACCTTCCCTGTTACCTGTCTGGGTGCTGAACACTTTGCCATATGTAGCTGGAGAAGAAGGGTCTCTTGGGGAATGGGGGTTCCTTTGAATCCTGATGCAAGAGTTCCCTCCCCTCCCTTCAGAAGAAAATGACAAGCCCCTGTCCTATAGAGATGGTATCTACTCCCTCAAATCTAGGAAAAGGGATGGATCCTGAGGCCAGAGTGTACCTATAGCATCATTTTGTGTGTGCTTGTTGGGATATCACATATTTGGATGGCATCACATAATTTGGCTGAATCTATTGATAGCTCACTGCTACACTGCCAGCTCCCTTCTCATTACCGCCTCTTCTACACGTGCTCCATAGGCAGGAGCTGTTACTATGGAAATACATTATTTTTAAAAACAGAAGCAGCCCCAGGCTTGGGAAATATCTCCAGAACAAACCCACAGGAGCAAGAAGGTTAATAGGGTGTTCCTGAATCCTAGCTCCTAGTGGAAGGGGGGTGGTGGTGGTGGACGGGGCTTAATATTCCATGTTCTATTCTCAGACTATACCAGGTTCAGGTTCTTTCTGGTCGGTGTCTCCTGGACCTCTGTCAGGCACTTCTGTCTAGGAGGGATGCTCTGCACCTACTCACCCAGGGCCTAGCTTAGGCCAAGAAATGGGAACCAAAGAAGGTGCTGAGCCTGGGGGTGTTGGGAGAAGGGGGCGACGCTATCCACGGGGTTCGGGTCCTTCTTAACCCCACATGCGTCCAAACTATAGAAATCTAAGCTGCGCAGGGGAAATCAGAGGCGGTATCTCAAGTGATTGAAGTTACTCTCGGCTGTGAGCTCAGGGGAAGGGGTGTATCCCACTTTCAGTTTGGGGCGGGGTGGTCAAAGATCCCGCCTATTTTCAACCCCGGAACCTCCTCCCCTCTGTGTCGTCCTCCCGCCCTCCTCTAAGCTCCTGGAGCCCCGGGCTCGCCAAGCTCCGCCCAACGCGGGTGCGGCTCCTTTAAGGGCGGGTGGGGGCGGGGCGCCGGCCGTGTTGTCAGTGTCAGCTTTGCGCACGCAGCCCTTCCGGAGCCGGTGCCGGTCCGCGAGCCCCCACGTCTCTGCAGACGAGTCCCCGCCCGGGTCCGGTAGGGCCCGCGCCGTGGGAGGAGTCGGGCGCTGGCCGGAGACTAACCCAGGTCAGACTGCCGGACTAACCAAGGAGGGAACCGGACCGCGCAGAGAGGGACCCCGGCGTCGCGACCCCCGAGGACTCCTCTCATCGATCTGTGGCACCCGCTAGTTCCGGACACCCAGCCCCGCAGAGCCCCCAAGCCCGCGCGCCCAGCCCCGGGGGAGCCCGCCCCCGCCCCGCGGCCAGCCCGGGCCATGCTCCCCCGGGGCAGCGGCTGAGCCCGAGCCGGGGCCCGGACCGGAGCCCGCGCGGAGCATGGATCCGGGCTGGGGGCAGCAGGACGTGGGCTGGGCGGCCCTGCTGATCCTCTTCGCCGCCTCGCTGCTCACGGTGTTTGGCTGGCTGCTACAGTATGCCCGGGGCTTGTGGCAGGCGCGGGCCCGCGGGGGCCGGGGGCAGGGACCCGCCTTAGCTGCCGAGCCCGCGGGCTCCCCGCGGGAGCTGGGCGTGTGGCGCTCGCTGCTGCGGCTGCGGCCGACTCGGGCCGGTGCCCCCGAGGAGCCAGGCGTCCGGGGCCTCCTGGCGTCGCTCTTCGCCTTCAAGTCCTTCCGAGAGAACTGGCAACGGGCTTGGGTGCGAGCGCTGAACGAGCAGGCCTGCAGGGACGGGGTGAGTTGGACAGGAGCACCTAAGTGGTCCCCTCACTCAACCTTTCCTTATGCCTGGAGGGCCGGGTGGGGGTGGGGATCAACTGGAGAACCCTATGGTTATGGCTTCTCTTCTCCTCCGGGATTAGAGAAAAGGGTGCAGGTGGGGCTGGAGGTTGTACAAATCTAGCTGTGTCCCAAATTCTCTATTCTGTGGTGGAGGTATTCTCTGGTTCCAAACCCAAGCACAAGTTGCTGTTCTCATAGCAACGCTAATCCCTGGGCCTGAGGGCACTTCCGTGTAGCCTGGGTGCTGGTTGTGTTGGAGGAACGGGGATAGAAGGGAAACAGGTGCACCTGCAGAAGGAATTTGCCTGGTCCTCATGCCACCACACCCAGTTAACATTTCATGCCCCGTATACCTGGTTTGACCAGGCAGATAGATTCCCAAGGAGCCTGAATTACCACCACCACCCCCAAGCCCTTAGTAATTTCACTGATACAGACTAACACATCCTTCTTTTTGCTGACCTGCAGCAGATATATTGTGGAAAAGTTGTTAAGGTGGAGAGCAGATTAATAGTCCATGCCCTTCTCAGTAGGTGAGCCTGGAGCTGCCCCTTGAGGGTCAGTCACAAACCAGCCCAGCCTACTTCCTCCCATTGCACCATGGGCATCTGGTCTCCCAGGAAGTAGGGCAGGAAGCGTGGTCATAAGACTGAGGTGGGGTGGGAGGTAGAGGCCTCCTTGTCATGGGGCCCTCTACCATCCTGGCCCAGTGATCTCTCTTCGCCCTCACTGCCTATCAGCCCCCTGCCCAGAGGGTTCTCCAGCTCTAGCTCCCACTAGGACTTTATTAGCTCCCCAGATGCCTGGAAGCAGAAGTGGCCACACAAGAAGTTGCTCAGTCTCCTCTGTCCAGCTAGCCAGCAGAAAGCCAGATGGCATCTGTCAGTCTACACCTTGAACTCATCCCTCCACCCAGTTCTTCCTGTACCTTGTCCCTAGGTCAGGAGCAACTCCTTGGGACAGCTGACTCAGCTGGACATTGGCCTCCCTTGCAAGGGGTGGGGAGATTGGGGTTCCAAGCATCCATCTCCCCATCTCCCTGGGCCTGGCCTTCAAATAAGCCAATGACAGGAGCAGAGAAGTTGGTATTCCCTGGTTTGCCAGGCACACGAGCCCTGTGAATTTATTTCCTCCCATCCCAAGACCCAAGGAAGGGCTGCCAGCTCAATTTGTGCCCCCTCCCCAATTCTTCTTCCCATCCTGCTCTCTGGATGGGGCTTCAGTAGGCTGTTTTCACTGCTGTGTAAGAATTAGGAAGCTCTTTCAAGACCTAAGCTAAGCAGCTTTCTGCTGCCTAATACCACCCTGCTATCTGCCTTGAGGAATTAGCGAGGCCCCTGGACCCTTGAGCCCTCTGAGCTTGCTTTTCTTCCCAGTCCCTCTGGGAAGGTTCCCCAAGGCCATGCTGAGCTAGTCTTCAACCCCAACAATATGAATAGGGTCATACCCTTGATTCTCCGCATCCTATTTATCCGGAAGAAGCCTTAGCCTCATTTCTTCAGCTCTTGTCTTGAATAAGTGGCCCTGCTGCTTTTACCCTTAGCTCAGCCATGTCGCTCTCTCCCCAGTTATATGTATGTACCAACCAACACCTTTATGATCTTTTTTCTATGCACTCCTTTCTTTGGGGGTAGGTTGGGGGATGAAGAGGAAGGTGAGGGGAGAAGAGGGAGGCTCCTGGTAATTCCAGGAGAAATCTAGGGTCTTCCGCTCAAGGTGATCTGATCTTTGAGGTGATCTAGCAACTGCAGGCCCCAGAGGGGTGTGGTTCTAGGGGAACACTTCCTGTCCTAAAGCCCTGAGCCAAGGAGGGGCCAGAAGCCAGCCTGCAGCTGAGGCCTCCGCAGTGCCAGGGCCCAGCCAGCAACTGAGCAGGCCAGCCCTGTGGGGGGCAGCTCCAGAGACCTGATCCTGTGTCCACATTACTCCCTCAGAGTTCCATCCAAATCACCTTTGAGGAGGTGCCCCAAGTCCCACCCAGAGCCAGCATTAGTCATGTGACCTGCATAGACCAATCGGACCGCACCATGGTAAGGGTTTGATGGGCACTGCCTTCTACAGGGCCTGAGGCGGGCTGGTCCCAAGAGTTCCTTTTAGTCTGAGGGCTCTTGACCTGGAGTCTCTGAATGCCTTCAGGGTCCAAGGACTGGCTTCGGGAGGTCTGAGAATCGCATTCAAGTTACATGCGAAATGTAGCACATGTGTGTATATCTCCATTTTTCTGGAGAGAGGAGTCTTGGCTTTTACTTAATTCTTCTATGGGCTTGTGACCCCAAAGAAGTGAAGTCTCAAGGAAAAGAGAGTGGGGAGGGGTCTTTTTTTTTTTTTT